TGTGCCGACACTTCTGACCACTCGGTCTCGTATTTAGTCACTCGATATCGTATGAGAAACTCTTTGATGGGACAGCCGTTTGAATGCCAGGCGTCGAGTTGGATGTGCGCCCACGTAGTGTTCACCATCAAGAATTCATTGACATGTTTTGGGGGTACAGGTGCTGTTGGGGAAGGGTGTAGGGGAAAGTAATACAACATGTTAATATGTGTGTATTATGAACTGTAATTATTAATATTTTAATAATAAAGTTACATTATAATCAATTAGATTGGTAAGATAATTGGCATTGGTTCAATTCGTATTTTTAAAAAAACTTTAAAAGTATAAATATTAATATTTTAATAACACTTTTTTAATATGTTTAATATAATTGAATAATTAGAATCAGTGGTCAAATCATGCTGATAAAAACATGATTATTTTTTATAGTTTGAGATTTTTATTTAAAATATATTTTAGTTTCAAATAAATATATTCATGTAATAAATAATTTGTTTAAAATGTTTATTATAAACATTTTGTATTCATGTTATAAAACTGTATTAATTTATATATTAAGGGTTAAGATACATATAAATTAATAGTTATCTTATCCAATTGGACCAAATAATGGACATTACCATTTTGTAGATAATTTGAGCTTTATTATGTAAGATATCAAGTCTAATAATTTAAGTTTATATGCTAAATATTTGCATTATATTAATAATTATGGTGCTAATAAACTGTAATTTTTAATATTTAAAAAATAAAACTTGTATAATTAATTATCAAAATCATACGTTTTGGGTCACAAGAGTCGATGATTTTAGTTTTGTAATATTTTTCTAATTAAAAATATGTCTTAAATTAATTTTGTAACTTCTGGTTATTTGCATGAATATTTTTGTTTTTTATTAGTTGAAAACATGTTTTTGTTAAAATGGTTCATGTTCAATTAATAAAATAAATAATTGTAATAAATAAATAAATTCCATGGACAAACATTTGTATTTATTTATTAACCAACTGTACATAATAATATTTTCCAGTATATAGTAATCCAATTTGTTTTATACGTTATATATGTGGACTACAATCACAAAGAAATTTTGTTTCTAAGTTTTAATAATTATAAATATAATTATATTATAATATCGGTAAAATTAGTATTACGATTATTTTAGGCAATTAGAAAATCTTACTTGATCCTTTAGTTTTAATGGCAATTGAATCGCTGGCATCTCCCTTTCCCATTGCATTATATGCCACCACATAATACTGTTTATTATGATAAAAATGTATTAATAATATTTATAAATTATGCTTGATTAAAAATATTAATAGACTGATATTTATGACTTTCACCAAATAAATAATAAACACATTTTGCTAGCAATCATTTCAACTATAATAAAACAATTTACAGTTTGTAAAATAGTAATTATTTAACCGAATAAATTATCAACTAATGTATTTAATTAATTTCAAATAAGCTGATTGAGTGTTATGATAAAAATGATCCTGTTAATTTATACAATCATGCACAACCATTCAATTAACATATAGAATAATATAGCTCAAACAAACAATAATACAAACACACCTGATATAATGTTCCGCAGAGCAGATCATTACTGGTATAGGCGTTGGTTTTGATGCGGATCTGTCTCTCCATCCAAACGGATGAATGGCTTTTGGAAAACACATAATAGCCGTTGATTTGACTCAAAGCCACCGTTAGGTTAGCCTCAGAGGGAAAGGTCCACACGATCTCAATCCAGTCGTACCCGACGTCCCCTTGAGATAGGAGGGGCGCCGACGGCCTGTCCATCACTAGTGTCTGGCCATAAACCTCTTCAGACTGGGGTCCTGTTCCCTTACTAAACAAAAAATTTAAAAAGGTAATTCATTTTTGATAGTATAAAGTAATGTTAGTGCATAATTAATTGCTTTATGATCATGGTGTTGCTTTTTTGTTTTTGATCGACACTTAATTTTTAGCTTTATATACAATATTGATTCATGAAAAATATATTTATCCGATTAAATTAAATTATATTGATATATAAGTTATAATCTGATAGAATTATCATGTGTTTAATTTTGATTTTTTTTATCTCTCTCTCTCTCTCGCTCTCTCTCTCTCTCTCTCTCTCTCTCTCTCTCTGTCAGAATTTTCTTAACAATTTTTATAGGATTTTTGCGATAGATTTCTATATTTGAAAACCTAATCATAATTTCTGTCCACAAAATAAAGTACAGATATTTACCACAAAAGATATAATGTTTTATACATAACACATACTGTACTTTAGATGAAAGTTATTTAATAATAATAATATTGTATGTATTATGTTGAAAATAATTTACACTGTATCATTATTCCGTTAACTGAACCGGGTAATTATATTTTTCAGCCATCATGTTGACAGCATTTTATACAATATATAATTGAAACTTTTGATGCAAATTATCAAAGATAGTTTGCTATAATTAAATATTAATTTAAAATAAACCATATATCATCTATATTAAGAGACGTGCGAAAATTGAAGGGAACTAAACAATATTGACGTGGTTTCTGATTCACCTTGTTAATTTGTTAACATTATACATGATTAAGCCATGAATAAAGTATAAATTACAAAGCATATTAAAATACTGTGTACGCCTAGATGTACGCACACAATCTTACTATTCTATATACAATTCTTTTTACATAGATATATATCAGTATATCTGTCTCCCGGACTGGATTTGACAGCACCAGTATTTTTATCAATATATATATCTTATATATCTATATATACAGAGAGTTATAATAAGTATTTCTTATAGTAATTCAATATAGGCTTCACTTATCACACAAATGGTGTCGTTTTTATGACATATTCTCTCTCTCTCTCTCTCTCTCTCTCTTTCTCTCTCTCTCTCTCTCTCTAACAAAACATTTATATCTATGGATAGACTTAGAGAAAAGGGGAGATAGAGAGAGGTAAAATCTGGTAGATCTCTCTCTCTCTCTCTCTCTCTAACAAAACATTTATATCTATGGATAGACTTAGAGAAAAGGGGAGAGAGAGAGAGGTAAAATCTGGTAGAATTTAATTCACCCTATTTCTATCGTTTGTATGTTTGAAATATATATTTTATATAAAGATAGATATCTATTGTATCGTAAAATGTTGTGATTAAAATTCTGGTCTGATTTTAATGTCTCCACACATTATGTTATTGTGTGTATGCATTAGTACTGTATTATATGTGTCGTTATATACATCTATATATAATTATATGTTAAATATAAATATAATTAAATAAAATGATTGAATTCCAGTTCACTAATGAGAGATGATATAAAGGACTGATGGTTATAATAATAGCACTTATATCCCATCTATCAATATGTGTGTATATATACTATAAAATATATAACACTTATATATTGTATATTATACCATACAGTGAGTAGTCTATGGCAGGCATTCACTCCCATTATACAAATTACTGCCACAAAAGGCATTCAATTCAATGGCTTATAATTAACTGAAATTGAATGAAAAGCTCATCTCCTTTAGCATCACATCTCTCTTATTCTCCTTTAAAAAGCCATAAACTTATTATTTTTCTATTGAATTCATCAGGAAATGAGATGAGGGTTACATTGATGGAGGTCTAGATGTATGTACTGTTATATATGTAATAATTATTTCAATGAAATCTCCCTTTTTTCAGTGAAAAATTCTTTAATTTAATGATTTGTCACAAAAACTGTTTCCATACAATAGGGCTCAATATATAATTTATTTAATTCAATTTTCAACCGTGATACATTGAATTTGAGATTACCAAGCTTTAGTTTAAATTATTAATTATATTGTTACCTAAATATTCCTGTAATTTTACTAACAACTGTAATATATTTATTAGATTAGTATACATATACCAAACATATTTTAACATATTATATAATTGGAATACCGTTGCAAATATTGGTAATTTTTTAAGGCATCAATACAATTAAATTACTTTTAAATTTATTTTCAATTAATTTTAATTAATAAATAAATGTAATATCAATTGTTAATAATTATATTTATAAATTAATAATGAATTAATCTCAATAAGTTTGAATATTCCATGCTCAAACTTTAATTGTATTTAGTGAATTAAAAGCTATCTTGAAAAATATTTTGTAATTATTGACTATATTAAATTTAAACTGTAATATTTTTTAGTAAATAATTATTTACAACAAAATTAATAGAAAATTATTTATAATTGGTATCAAAGTTTATAATCTAAATTTTATTATTTATCACTAATAATAAAACAATTAATTATTTTTACCTCATTAAACATTAAGTATTAAATATTCAAATAATATTAAACATGATAATTACCCGTTGAATGCCTGGACAACAACCGCGTACTTAGTGTTGGCGGACAGGGATGTGATGTTCACTTCGTTTTGTTGGTTCCCAGCGTTTGACAACTCATTTATCGACAACTTTTTAAACATGTAATTCGAGTCCATATCCAGCGCTTTATAGCCTAAATAATAGCCAACTATACGGCCGTTACGGGCCTCGAGTGCCGGCGGACTGAACGTCACGGCCAGTGATCGGGCGCTCAATGGGAACACTTGGATATGCAATGGAGGCCCCGATGGCTCTGTATGTATAAATTAATTTCGTATATGGTTAGTACATATGGTGTATATCTATGTATATAATATATAATTATTGATTTTCATGAATAGATGGAGAGTATATTGTGTTTTTTCACACAAATTATATTCAATTCATTAAATTTATTCAACAAAAGACTTATTATTATATATAAAAAGTAATTTTTACGACAGAAAAATGAAAAATTGAAAAAATTATTGAATGAATGAAATATTTTTTAAAGAAATAATATATAAGAATAAGTGATAGAAATAAAGAAAAAAGTTTCGTTATATAATAGACAAATGGTTTCGCAAACTATTGTTAGAAAGAGAGAGAGAGAGAGAGAGAGAGAGAGAAAGT